TTTGATGTCTTAGTTTCATGAAATACGGGGTGTGTGATGTTTTTAAACCATTGCATTCAGTTTTTATTTACATTTTACACAACATCGCAACATTTTTTGAGAACTGCAGATCTGCAGTTTTCATGTCCCAAATCTCTCTGTGTGTGATTGCTTTTGTGCACTGCAGCTTAAGGGGAGCAGCTAAAGGAGAGGTCTCTTTTCAAGGCATTCCTTCAAGCTAAGAGCAAAGAATAGCTTATATCCTCCAACATTATGCAGACTTCCATATCTGCAGGGCATGGAGATATAGGGTCACACTAAAACCAGGAGATTGGATATTTGGGAGGAGGCCTGGTGGGTTTGTGGTGTGTTTTTGAGAACACTGTCTCCGCCTGAAAAACCCCTCCAACTCCAGGGGCAAACACTGCTCACCTTCTGGAGACTGAAGAGGGGGAGGCTGAGGGGGGGAAGAGTTCAGAGGGTCTAGCAGCTGGACTTTATTTAAGGGTCACAAAGTGAACCAAAAATTGTTCTGAAGGCATAAAAAAAATCCCTTTGAAACTGAGATTATATCAGTATCAGGGGTGTAAGCAGCTGAAGTTTCAAAAGAAGTTTTCAGTTTTCGGTTTCACAGCACATTCTGATTATCTTTTGCAATAAAAAATAAGATACTGTGAAAAGTAAATTTTTTCTTTTATTTTTCTTTTGTTTGCCACCAAAATGTAAAATGTGGGCAATAGTGCTTTTGTTTTTGTTTGTGTGTGATGAAGATAAAACAGTTTAAAAAGCATGAACTGCCACACCATTGTTGAAATTAAAATTGTTTATGTCAGCAGAAACTCACTTTGGTCTTACCTCGCTCCTCAGTGTGGTCAGATTTAAACTCCATTTCCCTAATGAGGTCTTTCAAACAGCTATCTGCAACCAGTGGTTTCATATTTCATCGCTTTTATACAGAACCTCACTTTAAAAGATCTGAGTTATCCCTTTAAGTCTCACCTCATTATGAAAAGAATGAGTTTTGTTGTCTTGTCATTTTGACACATGGTTCTTTACTGAGTAAATGTTTTCAGCTGGTTTGAAGTGACAGAGTCATGTTGTATCAGAGGCTTTTTTAACAGGAAAAGATTATTAAAAATCAAGCCTGACTCAGCATAATTGCTGTTTTACAGCAAGTTCCTGTTCTGCAGCACACAAAACACTCAGAAATACAGCATCACAATCACATCATTATACACCATAGACACAAAGACAAACAAGCATACCAAATACTTTTGAGCCATTTGTGAAACTAATAAAACCTGATTATTATCACTTTTTTAGTTTGAGCTCGCTTTCTTTGTCCCACATGAAAATAACTAACCGTAGTCAACATTCTTAGAGGATTGTGTAAATTTTAAAAAAAGCTTGATTGCCAGATTTTGTAATATTTTAAAGCTTTTTTTACCAGCTTCAATGAGTATTGTTTTATTTTTTTAGATATCAAAGTAGTATAATGATCAGCTAAGAGATCACATGTTTGCCTGATTCATTTTCAGACTTCATCGCCCACCACCGGCAAAGAACAATTAGGTTTGTATCTGTTTATGTTTTTCTAACTGTGGCTGAGACTTAACTAACTTTAACTAAGATAAAAAAAATCACTGTAACATAACCAGGTCTATAGATATTGAAGGAAAATTTGAGGTGATCGTAGCTAAGCGTTTTGGTAAAATATAATGTGAGCAAGACACCACATGAGCTCAGACACATTATTTTCAAAATTTGACCAAAACCACTATATCATATATCATTTCTCATCATAAGATCAATATAAGATGATCTTAATATAAATAGATTTGTTTATTCTTCACATACCACCATTAAAGAAAATGAATATGTTCAATTGCAGGATGGACAAACATGGGAAAACCAAAAGACAGCTTTTCATGTTTATGGGGGAAGGGTGGAGGAGGGAATTTGGAAAAGAGAGCAAATAAAAAGTCATTTCTACGAGGCAGATATGTGCTGAAAGTCTTTCTTGTATACAGCACACCTGCTGATAATTTCCTAAGAAGCAAACTGTAACAGTATTTCATGTTCTCCGGAGAAATGCAATTTTGGGGTAATTAGAAAATGGACAGACTCAAACAAACAGCAGCAGACAACATAGACGTCTGGCTCCAAGAAGAAATGAAAATGTCTGTTTTTAGGACTTGGGAGAGTCAATTGATTGTCGAGGGAGAACACTGCCGCTGCCACTGGGTTAATTTAATCCACATTTTCCAAAAAGGAGTGGGCGGATGGCTGGAAGCTCTTTAAGTTTGTCAAAACTTTGGTAGTGATGAGGAGAAAAGCATCTCCAGCTCATGCTGGCCAGACTCTTTAAAGACAATAACATATTTCATCTGCAAACATTAGAGTGGAATTCAGGCTTCCTAAAAGACACATTAAAATGGTTTCTGAGATAAAAAGTCTTTTAGTTTTGGGTAAACAAGATGACAAAAAAAACTTGACAATGAGTTTATATATATATATATATA